CAAATGATACCTTGGTCGTAATTTTTGGACAGGGCTGAAAAATGTCACCAAAAAGAGCTAAATCGGCTACATGTGAACCAGGCTAACATTGCTATTGGTGATACAGTAATATGCCTCAAGAACGTGGCAGTCTGTTATTCGGCCGAATAACGGCAATTAAAAGAATGAATAAATGGATAATTTTTCATTTCGCATCAACAGAGTACACAAAAAAGTGTTTCCTAGGAAAAGTACTTGTAAATTCTCAACGAACATTCTGTATATTGTACTACGTTTTATCGCTTCGCCCTAATTTCTGTTCTACCAGACCGCTGTCCGCCATAAAGCACATGTAACAAACCGAGACCCCACAAAAACTATTCGTGTTGAAATTCAAATGGTAGAATTTTCATGTAAATTTTAGCGATAAATGTTGACGCTTGAATTCTAACCAGACCGTTTTCACTGAGCACCGTCGGAAAGCTGGCCATCTGCCAAAAAGCACTTTCTTTGCATAATTGATTGTTGCATTCATTAACGAGCTGATAAACTTCGAGCAGTTTTGTCGAAACGGAATTGTACCTTTCTTAAAAAATCTTATAGTCTAGGAGCAGACGCCTTCATTTGAAAATGTTTACTAACAGATTGAAGCTTATAAGCAAAAGTCTCTACTAAGTTTCGTCGTAAAATTAGGAATGAGATAAATATATTTGCTTAGGAAATCACTACATTTTGATTTCTGTTCGAATTTTGTGATAAGAACACTTTTATTATTGGTTTCACATAAAAGAGGTGAATTGAGAATGAAACAAATGAGCTCGGAATATTTTTATGACAAAACTGAAAATATAAATAATATTCAATAAAATAGGTACGTTTTTTTAGACTTGGGCAAACGTATCATTCAATTCGTTGCTTTCTTCTTTTTTTCTGTAGATTTCCACATTTTCTTGTATGAACATGGAGAAGTAGAAAGTCAAAACCTTCCTTTCGAAAAAATTGATCACTGCTGAAAATGTAACACTCACAATTGCAAATTATGACACTCATAAATATGAAAACGCCAATTCCTGAAGAAAACAATCAGGATAAAAAAATAAATACGATAAATAACTGAACAATCACCAGTTCCGGCAATAAAGAGAATTTCAATGATTTAAGTTTCCAAATCAGCCAACTTGTTTGTTTATATATATTTTTTTAATATATATTTCAATGTTTTTGTGATATATTTTGAGAAACTTGTGTTATTGATGTATGTTGACTGAAAGATGCTCAAATTCCAATAATCAACGAAGTACAGAATTTTATCCATTCTATAAGTATTTAGGTTCTTACCAGTTTTACCATGTTGTTAAATTTTTGTCCAACGCCATCAAATAATCCGCCCAAAATGGATGAAATTTTACGAAACAATTCCCATAAGTATTATAATTTGTGTCGAACGATTTGTGGTAAAACTTGGGGTTCACATCCCAAACTAATCCATTGGATTTATGTGATGATGGTCAGATCAATGATCATTTATTGTGCAATTACCTGGTGGCCGAAGGCTTCACAGAAAATGACCCAGGCGAAGCCTTTGGCTTACAGAGAGGAAATTGTCAAACAAGAGACAAACTAATCGGTTTCCTTAAGAAGTTGGGTCTATTTGGTTGGTTCAATCGTCCTAATCAAAGAGCACAGCAGTGGCAAGCCAAGTTTGATCGAATGACAAGGTTAATCTCGCTGTTTTCTTCGATTGCCGTAATCGAGCCTCAGCCACCGTGTTCACCAGATTTGACCCCCTGCGACTTTTTCCTTTTTCCAAGATCAAAGAGACCCATGAAAGGACGGCGATTTGCGACTATTGAGAAGGTAAAAACTGAATCGCTAAGAGATCTCAAGGATTGAAAGAAACTCTGGCACAAGTGTATTTTATCTGAAGGGGGCTACTTTGGAGGACACAAAATAAAAATTGATGGCTACATAAATATTTTTTGAGAAAAATGAGCTCACATTATTTTTTGAACGTACCCCGTATATCTTGAAAATTGGCGCAACTGAGTGGCCTATTATTCGTCTATGCGGATATCGTGGAGTATGCTGACGAACAAAAAACTACTCTGGCTGAATATTCTCGCAGGTAGCCAACTATTGATTCCAATATCTGAGACTGCACTTCATTCGAAACGAGGAGCTCGCTATATCATGAAAATGTATGGATTCTACGGTCTTGGCCAGATGAAGAATACTCATCTCACGGCGGCTACGATCTTGAAGAGTTATTTCCCTCATCCCTGGAGCTTGGCATGAATACATTTATCGCAAGCACACTGATTCATTGCGAATGCATTCGGAATACAATAGTTGAAGACAAAACGATTCTAGGTGAGGTTTATTCAGATTGTATATTTGAACCTCAAAACGCTTATCCAGATTCGTTCATAAATTCAACGATGGATGCAATAGAAAATAAAGAGTCAAATAAAAACCAAACGACCCTGCAAACAGCTTTACAAATTTACCAACATCCAACTCAACAATTAACGACTCAACATTTTTGAAAATGGGTATAATTTTTCCAGTATTCAGATGATTTGGAAAAATACCTACTGTAAATGACATATTAATCAAATGTGTCAAAGGCGCAATAATTACAGGAAGAACTCTTTTTAATATGAATATAGGTATTTCATCTGGACCTGATGATTTTTAATTTTTTAGTTTGTTATTTGATAGTATAAACAATTCGTCACCTGTGTATGGAGTCAAATACAAGATGTGAGGATTGAAATCTACTAATTTTTCAAATTCACTGTTAGTAGGAGTGTTGATAAAAAAGTAATAAACAAGGAAGAGATAGTTTCTGGGTCTTCTATCAGCTGGTCATCCAACCTAATATTTATGTCATTGTATGTTCTATGTTTATTTGTTAATTCAGATACCACATTCCTTGAGGCACGGCTCTTATTAGGGGCTTCATATATCTTATCTTGGCAATATTTTTTCTTTTTTTCTTCAATTAGGGCATGGTGTTTTCTCTTTGCCTCTTTATAGACTGGCAAAAAAGTTTTTTAAAGTAAACAAGTCCCTCAGTGACGTACCAGATTATATGATTGAATCATCTACGCATCTCTTATTATTGTCCTTGTAATAAAATCTTTTTTCAGGAAAATTTGAATTAAAATGGTTGAGTTATACCTTAAATAAGAGATAAATTGGAAATAGGTATGAATTTAGAACTAGTTTCAAATAAAAAATAAACTGGGATCTATACTCACACATGCAAAACCCAACAACACTAAAAAAAAAAAAACAAAAAACTGCATTTTTGAGATACCTTGTTCTTGTGGTGAAAGTTATATTGGTGATACTTCGAGACCATTGAAGGTGCGTGGGAATGAACATCAAGATTACATAGAAAATAGACAATTGACAGGATTTAAATTGTCAGAACACATTTTAAAATCAGACGGCGAACATCGAGTTGAATTGAACAAGACAAAAATGATTACCATTGAGACTCACTCTAATAGACGTAAGCCAGAAGAATCAGCGTATATTCTTATATCTGGAGAGAAATGTTTTTCGAACAGTTCCTTAGAAATAGACCGTACTTGGCTATCCATCTTGAAGAAAAGTTTGGATAGTGGCGAAATAGCAACAGACTGATGTAGGAATGCACCTTGAATGCAGGGCCGTAACGAAAAGAAAAACCAGGGGGGGAAGGAATCCAAATTTTCCCAACCCCACCAGCAAAATTTCCCAACTTTGGAAGAAATGAAAGCCGAGGGATAATATATCAATTTTTTTACTTAGCTATCCAAAGATTGGCTGAATGCTTATGCCCGTTAGGGTATGCACAAACAAAAAAAAATTTTGGTGATTATAAAAATAATTATGGGAATTATTCTACTTTGGACCAAGGTTCTTGGTCTTCCACAATGTATAGGAATATTCAATACAAATGAAAGGAAACGACACTTAAATAATATTGTGCTCATTGTTTTCTACTATTATTTCTTCACGGCCCGAAATTTCCCAACTTTTCCAAGTCGGAAAAACAGCGAAAAGTTGGAAATTTTAAAAAATTGTCACTTGAAAATTTGTGGATTGTTCAGGACAGGACTGTTTTCTTACTTGGGAAACGGAACGTTTTTGAAGATTTCAAACAACTCAGAATTCTCTTCTCTTTTCCTTTCCCTTTTCTTATTACCTCTCTCATTTTTATTTTTTCAATTTTTATTCATGTTTTTACTGGTTTTTTTCCCAACTTTAATGGCCCAAAATTTTTTAACTTTTCCCGACTTTTTCCCAAGTCGAAAAAGCAGGGGGGAGGCCCCCTCCATCCCCCCTTCCCCTTGGCGACGGCCCTGATCGAATGTTTCAGTTGTCAATCAGCAACATTGACATAATTTCACATTTCAAAACTCCTTTGACATCTGTCGAAGAAGTTGAGAAATAAATAATCAGCAAATGAATAACTGCAAATTTCTTTGAATTTTTTGTCCAGTTCTGAAGACGGAGGCAGATTTTGTCCTGAGTTATTGATAAATAGAACAATTTTCTTTGTGAAAAATACTTTGATTTCACGCAGTAACTTATCGGGGTAAACTAAAAAGTTCTCCATTATAATTTTCATATTTTTCAGATTGTGGAAGGTGAAAATACTCAAAAAAGGTCGATAAAAACAAAAAATGCTCATTGTATCGAAAGGGAATACAAAGACTGATAACAACTAGTTTCTGAGAGAAAACTGCTAATTGTCAGTCTAATCTCAGTGAGAAAAAAGTTTTATCAAGTATTATGCATATAAAATATAAATGCTTTGGAAGTATCTATTTGTGGGTTTCCAAAAAGTGTTTCTTTGCCTCAGAATTATACCTATTTTTGTGGTAGCACTATTGACTAAAGTTTCTTGAGTTCTGTTATTCTGTCTGGATGAATTTTTATAATCATCTCAGATTCAATCATGATTTAATTCTTCCAAACCAGTTTTCATGAATGAAGTATAATTGATACTAATTTTTTTGTTTCAGGAATGCCCGGAGGGTGTCGTCCATGAAGATAGCTTTAAGGACATTTATTCGAAGTTTTTTCCTCACGGAAGTAAGTATGTAAATGGTTTCTTGATATTCCAACATCCTTCTTGATTCCTTAATACTGTGAAATTGATATCCTTCTGCATTCTAGATGATTTTCAATTTAAAATATGTGAAAAAGTCACTGGCTGCAAAAATTCCTTTTGATTTTTTCCTAGTAGCATATATTTCGTTTTATTACTATTCATTTTTTAATTATTTTCATTATTCCATTTCGAAATTTTAGTCAGAAAACCGTAAATTCACTTACAGATTAATATACCCTCAGGTATTCAGACCACATGCCAGGTTATCTTATTTCCTTTTAAATGCCAAAGATAAGGTGGACAAGATCCCACATAGCAATAGATATTCCAGGTATATTTCATGAATATACATTTAAGGATATTGTATTATGCTATGAATATGCCATGGATATATATATCTTCTGGAGAATATTCCCTAGAAGTGCTCCTGGCGAACCTTTGATATATTTTAAGAATATTCCTTGGGAATATTCTTGGAATNAAATTTTTTTGTCGTTTCCAACAGTTGCTGTTGGAGCAATTCATCCAGAATCTTTGCGTTGAGTTCAAAAACTGGTTAACACTATCAGGGTTATATACATTAGGTTATGCATTCGATTAAGATCTTCAAATATTTTTGTTTTTAATAATATTGAATTATTTGAATACGTTATTATAAGATAATTCAAAATTCCATTGTATAGAATATTCCAAAATATACCGTGGGGATATATTCTAAGAATATACCATATGGTATATTCGATCGACAATATTCTTAGAATATTCAAGGGAGAATAATCCATTTATAGACATTCTATGCACATTCTTTCGGGAATAATCCTGCCATATTCATTCAAGCATATTCTATGAATATTCTAAAGGCATGTATATATTCCAAGAATATTCTATGAATATTTGGAATATATACGTTCGTTTCATGATATACAGGGAATATTCCATGAATATCTGGTGCTGTGTGGGATGTAGAAATCTGGAATTTATAAGCTCAAGTCTTCGGAGTGTAATAGCGTTTATGTGGGACAATGTGGTCGACATTTCCAAAAACGGTATGCTGAACATGAAAGGTCCTTTAGACTAAGAAAAAATGGTTCGACGTTCTCAAACCATTCCTTGGCATGCATCCACAAGTTCCCAAATCTAAACCCTACGAAAATTTGGCACTATGCAAGGAAGGGATGCAAACTCAATTATTGAGAAGCCTTGGAAATTCACAAGCATAAACATTGCGGGTGCGGGTTAAATGATCAAATCGATTTCCTTCATTATAAATCTGTGAATTGGCAAACATCCCGATTAACTGTTATTGAAAGCAATGCAATAATAATAATAAGTTTATTAGCAGTCTCTTGGTGACAATATAAACAATGTACAAAAAAAGAGCAGTTTCTTGAAACTACAATAAAAAATAACTCCACAAAGCCTAAGCTGTCCGTGGTATTGAGTTAATGTATTTCTGATCTTTAAACATTATTCTGAGAGGTGTACATAAATGTTGGAAAACTAGTAGTTACCAAGTTACTTAATGCTAACTCATTAAAAAGAAGATGTAACTCTTCAAAAATCTAATAATATTGTAACGAGTAAGATACCCCAATAATCTTAATTACATATATAAAATGCCGTACTTTTTTCTTAAATTGAAAAGGAGTATATTCGACAATTTCTCTTGGTAGGTAATTGAAAAATCGTGGTGCTAAGAATGCTTGGCATTTTTGACCTATCGTTTTCCTTGCAATAGAAATTTTGAGTTTGTTTGAGTCCTTTGCTCTCGTAAGATATCTATGCGACATATAATCAAGCTCATTAGTTTTTTGTGTTTGAACAAATATACGACTGACTTGAAAAAATATAATTGTCTCAAATCAAGCATTTCAATTTCTTTAAATAGAAGATCAGACGAATAGGTTCTTTTTTTATGGAGCATAATTTTAAAGAAGGAAAGTTTTTGCATAACTTGCAATTTTTGAAGATGTGTATACGATGTAGCACCCCAACGCAAAATCCCATATCATAATCGAGATCCAATTGATGCAAAATAAAGTATTTTCAGAAGGGACACGGTGAATATGTTGCTCATGTATCGGAATCTACCTTGTAAAATTTTCAGAGTACTAGTGACACTATCTATATGAAAATCCCAACGTAAATGACAGTCGATTTTTATTCCTAAATATTTAACATTTTCAGTAGACTTAACTCTCAAAATATTGCTTTGGTTTTTCACTTCTAGACATTTGTAGTTGGGGAAACTGTTTATATAACTTGTGATAGGCAGAAAGATAGTTTTATCAAAATTGATAGTTAACAATTTATGGTTGAACCAGTCGATGATTATGTTTAGATCTTGTTCAAGTTGATAAGTTATTGATGTAAATAACAAATAGGATCGGTACCAAAACCGTCCCTTGTGGAACTCCCTTTCCTTGCTCACATAACCATCTATTTTTACGCATTGCCGGCGGTCTCTCAAGTATGATTCAAATATACTGTAAACATTTCCACGAACTCTCACATATATTCACGATATTTCTGAAAAACCGTTCCATTTTCCTCAAAACTTTTCTGATAAAACTCCATACCTCGGCTGCCTTTTTCAATTGATTATCCGATGAATGGAAATGGGAGATCTATTAATAAACTTCAATTCTGTGAAAAACGAAAAAAAGCGTATTCGGAACGAGAGGAAATGAAAACATTTTGACGTAACAAAACTCTCTGAATTGATCTAGAAATTCGTCGAATCGGGTCATTCATTGAATCTGTTGAGGTATGTCAAAGCACAACATCGAATTTTCGAATATTTTTAAGAAAAAAACATACTGTGTGTACATGGGTCTATATGTGTATGTATATATGTGTATATAAGTATATGTATATATATTTGTCATCCTCTGGCGATTTTTGTAAAGTGTTCGGATGTCGTCTGACCCTACTCAGATGACTTCTTACTATGTGGGTATAATGATGCTGTTACATATATACCGTTGGTGATTACCTGAATTTGGTATCTGTATGTTTTGGTACCTGAGTTCTTCTTCTTCTCGATATGACCTCTTCTCCCCGTTAAGGTTTGAAATGTTAGATCGAAGGTTAGGTTAGGTTAGGTTAGTTTTCCTGTCCGTGAAAAGTCAATTACACATTTCTTCATAATACCTACATGTTTGAGTGAAATACAACAAATTAGGTATCATTGGAAAGATAATTTTGTGCCCATTCAAATGATATATCACTCGACTCCACTTTCCATTTATGTATATATACATCCTTCAACTTTAGAGCTCATCTGAAATTATCAACACAAAATTAGTCTAGTGTTGAGCATTACGTTTACAAGTAGAAACTTCTCATTAGCTGCTGTTTTTAAAATAATCTCGGCTCAAGAACTTTGCACTTCTCGGGTTTGTTGGCGTCTGTTGATTTCGTCAGTGAGTGTATGCTTTTCAATTTTTGAAGTTTCGTTTGAAACTTTGAAAACTGGTATTGAAACTTTCGTTTACTTCAACATCGATTATTACGACCATTCTGATGATGACTTGATTGTTTCACCGTTTCGTCAATAAACGCCAAAAGAACTCGTGTAGCCTCATCGATTTTCTTTACCTTTCTCTATCAAAAGTTTTATATTCTTCTTCGTGAATTAGTCTTGATTTCTGGTGCAGTAATTTTATAGCGCTTCAGCTACCTCCTTTTCCAACTCCATTTCTTGCTCCATGTTCTACGCTTTTTGTTGCAGATTATTTCTTTCGTTTTGTACTGTTTTTGACGCAGTTATAGATATTTTCGTACTCAATAAGTTCCTCAGCNGGAATTTTGGTCTGTAGCACCTACACCAAACACCCTGTATATTTAAAAATTAGATCAAAATATAGCTCTCATGAACTCCTAAAACTTTTGTATGAAACATTTTTGTGTATCTCCTTCAACAAACCAGATATTGCCTGTCACATAAAATGTGGGACACCCGGTATATACAGTGAGTACATTAACTTTCAACATCCGACAATCCATATTGGTTTGCATAATTTTGATTTTGATTTTATTTAATTATCATGTACTATTATTATGTACTATTATATTTAGAAGCTTTGTCAATAAGAATTCAATTCTTCAGATAATAAAGCATGCTTTGATTTGATCTGGCCTTTGAACTTGATCAAGTCAGCTATTGACAGATTTTCACTCGTTGATTCAGAACAGATATATCACGATAATTTGACGCAGTCCATTCCGGAACACATGAACGAGAACATAATTTGTAAACAAATTCACGAGGGTGATCTGAAAAGTTTCTGCTACAGATCCTTCTGGTTGGTGGCTGAAGCTGTCAATCAGAACTTTACAAAATCCACAACCATGTCGCTGAAATTGCAAAGGCTGCTTCTCAAAAGTTTGGAACACTACTCCGAACTAGAAAACTGTACACACCCCAGCAACTTTTAATGCTTTATAAAGCTCAGACGAATCACAGTTTGAACTGCTAGATCATTCGCTTTACTCGACAGATCTAGCTCCAGGCGACATCTTTTTGTTCCCTCAATCTGAAGTCAGTTTGGAATGATTTTTCCATTGGAACTATGATATTTTATGTTTGCAAATTTCTCAAGAAATCTATAAAACCTGCTAATCATTTGGAAACGGCTGGCTTGATTTGAAATAAAGCAGCATCCAATAGAGATCCGAAAGACCTACCAAACGTGGTTTCACAAGAGCCTTTCGCAATTTGAAAGTTGATAAGGAAAATGATGCTTTTCTTCGTGAACTTGGTTGCATTTTTGATATCATGTTCGTTTCTGAAGTTATTAAGCTATTTATCTCAATAAATATTCATTTTAATTAGTTAACAAGTTCAGTGAAAAGAGGTTGGTTGGGAAACTGGATCAATTTTTTCTTGAAAACAACAATTGTCTTTAATGAGATTAAATTCTTCTTCGGGGCTCGAGAAGTAGTTTTTTCGTGTTAATAATATTACTATTGTAAAAACCATCAGACACATTAGACACATGTTAAAAAAAATAGAAAACATCATAACAACCAAATTTCCGAGACAACAACACCAAACAACATGAAACAAACATTTATTCCATGTCGTTTTGTGTCATGACTCCATAACCACAATAGAAAAACCTATTTTCAGATTCCTATTCATGAGTGAGAACTGTTATTGATATGGAACTGTTACTAATATGAAAAAAATCAAATAAACATATTTAGAAGTATATTTTTTAAATTCACATTGTTAAAATCAATGTTTATTGAATTTTTATGGAAGAGCAGAAGGGCTACAAACTTTTATCATGTTGTTTTTTGAGAATATCGACTTTAACCTAGTAATTTCGACTCTAATCTTGAAATTTCGGCTTTCAACTCAAAATTTTGATATTGAAGTCGAAACATTGAGTTCAAAGGCGAAATTTTGAGATCAAAGTCGAGATTAGAGTCGAAATGTACCAAAAACAAATTATATAATGTGTACTTTTTTGCGCTTTCATAACTTTCAATGTAAACTCGAAAACCCGCTACTACGGATATGATGAAAAACGAAATGTAATGGCCGTTTCAACCGTGGTTCTTTTTAATACACCATCCAATGAACACAATTAGGTTAATTTCATGCCAAAATGCTCAGATGCTTATCATCGTTCCCCATTTCGCTAGAAAAACCCCGCGTTCGTGAAATATGAACCTGAAGTGCGTGACAATTTAAATATACGTATTTCATTGTTTTGTTACACGCCACATCGTCACAGAAATAATTCCAAACCATTTTTCCACTCATTACAATGATGAAAAGATTTTATCTCCATAAACTTGGAGATAAAATCGTGAGGTGTAGTTTTTGAAAAAAAAGTTATGATGACTCTCCATGCACTCATCGATGTATTAATTCGTTCAAGATTTTTTTATTGAATATCTCTAATAATACCCACTGTATTCTAGTTTTTTCTAGTACAATTCCCTGGAGATAATGCCATTCTAGAATAGTCTATACGTAGAGCATTCAGAAAATAAACTGCTTGATTTTTATCGAGGAAGGACTTTGAATCATAGCGATAATAATTCTTTTCATTCAATGGTAGGAAAAAAACAAGTAACAAAATGAACACAAATAATTATAAAAGGTTCAAATTCAAAAAAACATATTCAAACAATCCCTCACTTTGAGCTATGCGTGGATTAACTCAATCTTCAATTATAAATCAGGAATAACAGAGCATGTTTGGACCCATCAACATAACATCGAGTGGTTTCAAGCTGAGATCATACACAGGAAAGAACATTGGTTTAGAAGAAAATTCAAAGAAGCTGCATACATGTTGTCCAACAATGTATTCAGTAAAGCTAGCGTAGAGATACGCAACTTATAGAAACCCATGTTCAAGCAAAAAATAACCAACTCCCGCCAATCGGTCATCTTCCGCTAAAAACCGATGAAGCGGAAAGAGGGAAGAGGGAATAGGTGCAGGCAATCGAATGACCCATGAATAGTCACGTCACGGAGGAATTAGTCCAGTCATCACCCGAAGAGGATTGTGGATACTAATAATCGAAACGTCGTGAAGTAACTTGGCTTGGAATCTTTTAATTTTTTATTTTTATATCATTTTTTCAACTTTTTTCAATTTTTTTGAATTTTTTTATTAATTTTTTAAAATTTTCGTTCAATTGTTCTATTTTTGTATTTTATTTCTCTGTAATTTCATATCAGGGTTTTTTTCCTTAATATAATTGTTATTTTCAGCTTTTCTTTTTTTAATTCTTTCTTTTTTGTTCGTTCTTTCAGAGATTTCAAATTATTTTATATAATATTAGACAATGGAAGTGCGAACTAATGAAATTCATCATGATACATTGTCAATCACCTTCAAACAAACCTTGAACTAATTGTCGAACTACAATCAATCAATCTTCTAATAGAACAAAAAACTACTTCAATTCTAACAGTAGTTTTCAGTAACTGCAAAAAGAAGTAATTTCATTCTCTATTCTCCATGTAGTTTTTCGTAAAAATTACAGCAACGTATATTCAGATAAACGTTATACTCTATATATACATGAAACACGATGATAGAGCTCGTAATCAAGTTGTAGTGTCGCGTTTTCAATATATTTTTTGTTTCAGATTCTAGTTTATATGCACACTACGTGTTCAAGGCCTTTGATGTCAACTGCAACGGGGCAATTAGTTTCAGGGTGAGTATGGATTCTCGTTAGAACCCCGGCAAAGGAATCAGGAATGAAACAAGATATTTCACTAGTAACCATTTGATTTGAAATCATTTTATACTTACCTCAGAGAAAGCTTTAGCGATAATCCACCAATTTATCGAAACGTGTACGTTTTGGCGAAGGAACCGGTGTACGATGAAATTTCTGGCGGAGGTGCCAAACCAACTTATTATTAAAGCTATGATTTATCCTCTGCAGTGTAGCTTGAGTGGAGGTGTGAACTTTTGACAACTGTCAAAAACTGTCAATTTCATAACAATTTTAAAAACTTTTTATAGATATAAATTATAATATTGAGAAATAACATATCTATGAATACTGTTTTGGGTCAGCCCCGTTTGTATTCCTTCCATATAAATGAATAAATTATTTAAGCTTAAAGTCGCAACTCCTATGAAAACCTCACGGTAATAGGTCGTTTGAAGAGCTTTGTCCATTTTTATGAGTCTTCTTCAAACTGCAATTTGATTGACATATAGTGGGCGCTTTTTTCAGTTACTGTTTATTTATGAAGGGGATACATATATTCATTTTTTGTGGTGAGATACATATGAGCAGGTATATTCTCACTGAAGAGGTGTCAATTTTTATAAATGAACATTAGGCATTCATAGATAGACCGATTCGAAGTTAGCCGTATATATTGTTTTTATAGCCTCGTTGTGCAGATATTTTGATGTAGATCTGTAATATTCACCATCATCTCTGGTTTCACCACCTGATAACAGGCTTGTGTCATCTGCGAAGACCGTTTTGAATTGACGTTGGTTTGGGTTTAGATTACATAAGTCGTTCAAGTAAATGACGAACAAAAGAGGGCCGGCAATGCTCCCCTGCGGCATTCCCACGTCTCTAGGAAGGGTTTCGAATTTGTAGACTCTTCCATTTCGTTATATTTCTACAGATTGAAAGCGATCTGATAGGTAGGATTCAACTCACTTCAGCGCTTAACCTCTTATTCCATATCTTCCTTCTAATTTTACTTACATATTTGGCCGGTATATTTTCTAGACTCTCTGGATCACCTTTTTTAAAGATTGGCTTCACAATGAACGTTTTAAATCCTGTTGGAATTATACCATACTTCAGTGAATTATTGATGATATAGGCTATGATTTCGTCACTGGCAATCAAGCTTTTTTCATAATACTAGTAGTAGGAATTTCATCTTCTCCACTGGAATGTTCATTTTTTAGTTTTCTAGATAGTTCTATGATTTCGTCTAGGGTTATGGGTCTCACGAACATCGACTGCATATTTACAGGGATATTACATTGAAATGAAATATTTGAGGATACGATTAAGCAAATTCCAAAATGGCTGCTGCAAAAAAATTACTAGTTGGTAGACTAAATTCGAGTCCTAGACAGTCCAGATATAAAATAATATCGGATTCTAATACATAATTTGGACCCTTCGCTCCTTTTGGATGTTTTAGAAACGCAGCAAACCGAATCAATCTATGCCACTGTTTGTTGAATGATGTTAGGATGGATTGCTTTATACAGTTCTGCCAGTTTTATGCCGACGTTGATATATTGCCAGCGGCGTTAGCCAGATTACTTACGGGGTAGCCCAGCTGTTGCCCGATAGAGAAACTGACAAGTTGACTGATTCCATTCGACTTGAAATATTAAATACGTTATTTATTGGTTACGGTTTGGCGAAACAGTTTGTGATTATTAATAATTGTTTCACTTGTATAACATAGATGTGATTTTTATCCCAAAATATTTGAAAAATGCTGTCTTAACATTGAATATATGATGCGATTTGTCACAAGAGAAACAATATACTATCCATAGATAGATATATAGATAGGTTTGTAGTGTATAAAAATGAGACATCGACAGCGATTACTTTCACCACTGGTGTACCTCAAGGGAGTATTTTGGGTCCATTATTTTATGCAATTTATACTGCACATATGATGCAATGTTTGGAACCTTTGGTGTAGTAATGAATATTACTGGAGTTTTTTCCCAACACCAAATCGTTATTTTTAACACCTCGACACGTGTTTGGATCACCAAGTGATCATATTCAAAGAGGAAGATTAAAACTAAGACCTATTTATTCTATAAAGGTAACCCATACAGGTAAACCATCCAGGCGTACCAACCATACAGGTATGCCAACCTAAATTAATTTTACAATTTTGCCTTATCTATTATTTTACAATATATGTTTATATAAAACAATTTTCACCTATATAAAAATTAATTTCACAAAATTTATTTCTGCAATGTGTCCTTATGTAGTAATCAGTAAACCCAACAACATTATTTTATTTTATTTTAACAAGCTATATAGTATGATCTTTGGTATAGGTCCGTCATCGTTATTCATAATATTATTGTGTTTACTTATTTCTACACTCTCATAGGCATCCAACCTAGGCTAGCTTATTTCTACACTCTCATAGGCTGGATGCCTATGAGAGTGTAGAAATAAGCTTTTTTTTTATTTGGAAGCCGACAAAGGTAACAAAGTAGTAATTCTGGATAAATCTGACTACTACGAAAGGGTCAATACTCTCACTACTAACTTAAAGGCCGACGAAATAAGTAGCATCATTCGCATATGACACCATGTCATAAAAGAATATATAAAAGAATAGGTCATTAATATATATGATAAATATGAGTGGTCCCAAGACAGACCCCTGTGGGACACCATGTGGATTTTCGTGTATTTCCCATTTGCCGCTCTTCGAAGATACATATTGTTTCCCCCCCTGGTCAAATATGAACGAATTGAAAAAGTGTTGGACTTCTTATACCATAAAATTCCAGTTTTTTGACCAGTAGGTCATGGGATACGCAATCAAAAGCTTTCATGAGGTCACATAAAATTAATGCCGTAGGTTTACCTTCTTCGAATCCTTTTAAGATAGCAGCGACAACTTGACAGACAGCATTAACTGTTGATCTACCTGCACGAAAACCAAATTGGTGTTTATGAAGTGATCTATTATTTTCCTTAGACAGGCTAGTCATATTATTGTGGCTGTTGGGCATCGAATGTACGTGGACTGTATTTCCTGTCAACGTTGTCCTTTTGCGAGATTGCATCAATGGAACATATTTTCCATTTCTGAAATGAAGAGAACAATTTTTTCAATCGCAGATTGTTACAGGACTTATTGATATCGCTCTCTACTCTCCTACGTGGGTCGGTATATGAAAGACTGCGTTGGACGTTCAAACTATATGACGTCAATGGTGATGGATGCATCAGCCGAGGAGAGCTTTCAGAAATTGTCGTGGCGGTCCATGAGCTGATGGGCAGAAGAGCGCACCAGGTAAGAAAAATCATCAGAACTTGAAGTTAAGGGTGTGAAATTTGGTCAGTTGTTAGTAGTAACAAAAACATTTCAAAAAAGCATGGATATCTAAAAATTTTATACGAATCATTTTGAGCCACCCCGTATCTTTCAAAGTTTTGAGCCACCCCGTGACAAAAAGCTAAAACGTCGATTGTTTCCATAGGTCGAGGACGATCGCAAAGCCAGAGAACAGATAGACCGAGTCTTCCGGAAGCTCGACCTCAACCAGGACGGGGTCATCACCATAGAGGAATTCATGGAATCGTGCCTAAAAGATGACGTCATCACTAGGTCATTGCAGATGTTTGACGCGGTGCTATGATAATCGTGGACTTCTTCTTCTTCGACGCTAACTTGCCGGTGATTCGGCAGAAAGAGGCCTAGGGCATTGGGACAAACTTTGTGGAATGGTGTCAGAGGCGTGGGGTTGGGTGGAAAGATAGGACTAATGATTCAGAGGTATTAACAGGGAGGTTTTTTTGATACAGGTTGTAAATTTTGGTCACGTATTTGATAGTAATATTTTTTTTGAATAATTACTTGTCCTTCAGTGATGCAGTTGATAATTGGAAAATATTTCTTGTCACTGGTAACGATCAAAATCGGGTGGTAGTTTTTCACTTAGACCTTTGCCAGGCCCAAAACTTTTTTCATAACCCAAAAGAACAAACTGTAATTTTTAATAATTTGTTTTGCAGGCCAAAAGTCGAAAAAAAAAGAAATTCTTGTACATATTTTTGGCATAAGTTATTATATTAAACGCATTTGTGTGATTCAAGTGATTACGAGTTAAAAGGTCAGCAGAGAAATATCATTGGTATTACGTGTTTCTACTATTGAAGAGTCAATGAATAATTATAAAATGGAAATACATGATAGTTCAGTTGTGTCCCTTCACTATGGATTGGTCATTTTTAATTTATTTCAACGAGAAAATCAATACATTTACTACATTATTCAATAAAGAGGGTAGGGGATGACGTGGTTGTATACAGGATGTTTTATAATCCAAGATTTTCAGTAGAAAAAATTGAATATTTTGACATTCTCATTATTCTTCCTCTTCATTCATAAACTCATCAGTTCTCATAATCAATATTACCGAGTTACCCAAGTTTCATTGTCAACTGCTGAGAATTCGGAAGGTAATTAATAAAATATTCACCTCTTTCCATACACAGCCAAATTCTAAGTGAGTATTTAACTTTTTTAACCGTTGATCACGTGTTAATATGTTACTCAAACAGAGAAATGAAAAATAATACTTTATTTTCAAATTATTTAGAGGTACCTTCCATAGAACATATCTCATATTTGTTTTACAAACGAATTATAGTTTGAGAAACCTTCAAATATTTATATAGTCGATGTAACGTCAAAATTATATTTGCATATTTGAAGCATGATAATGTATAAACAAATAGAAACTAATTCAGAAATTTGTTGAATTCGAAATTGAATAGAATAATGAAATATAGTTTTGTAAGTGAATTATTTTGTTGTGTTGAACGATTTTTCAGACATTATCAATTGAAGTCAAATGTGGTCTCAAGTTCTTAATCTTCAAGGTATCATCAGGAATGCAATTGAGTTGGAGTAGTTACGATAGTTGCAACTTCGCTCTCATGTTCTGGGGAAGAAATTCTTGACAAACACATCAATCTATCTATAACTGATTATTTTTCTTCACAGATTACAATTTTTTTCTGATATTTTTGACTTTGAACGCGGATTTATATTTTTACGATTTTCAGCTGGGAAATTCCAACTTTGAACCTAATTCATGTAAGAACTATGAATAAATTCAGTTTCACATTGGGGCTAGGTTGTGTTATACGGGATAATGTCTGAAGTCTGATTTTTATGTAGGAATTTCTAAATCACATCATACAAATTGAGGTTGATATTTTTTCCCTCCAAAAAAACGGGAGCCAAGTTCTAACTGCCGCAAGACGCTCCGCCGTGTGGAATTTTACGTCTTCGTAACTACTTATTGCAAACTACTTACAACTACTAATTGCAAATTTCAAAATGGGATACGAATATATTCATAATTTGAATTCATGGCAGTGTCAAACTTAATATGCTCTAGGGGGCATAATTACCACGATTGTCCTCTTTGAATACACCTCTGTGAGTTACAACTCATGTATGTTGAATTCTGAAGTCTCTGTTGTTTTTGATACTTACCTGTATCATTCATTTCAACTTCAAGAATTCAGTTAGAATTCATTATGGCCCTTATTTCCATATTACAAAATTGACCTAAATAGAATTACTTGAACTGCAGTATATGTTCTTGTCTCAAACTTGATAGTTTTTTATCTGGCCGGACTGTATAATTATGAAAGATTTTATAAAATCTCACTATTGCTTTCTGTTTGCTTTATCCGTAACGGTCGATGTGGCAACGTTTCACCAGAGAATTTAAAAATAAAATTAAAGTTTTGGTCTACTGCGCCGAAGGGAAGCAAAGATCATAAAAAACGAGAAGAAGAAAATTAAAGTTTATTCAGATGAAATATTTTCCAAATATCACTTTTTGTGTGGAATAATACCTATCATATGAGTCATACGTTGATGAGAAGCCACTTTTTTTGTATATTTCTTGCCTGTTAGTGAAAACATTTTGTGAATCCCAGTAAAACTACAAGCTATGCAACAAAAGTTTCATAACACAATACGGGTATTATTTCCAGCTGGTCGAATGTGGGAAGAGACTGTAGAATTGTTTCTTTCTCTCTCTCTCACTCTCGCCATCTTTCAACGAACGCGCAATCAGTGGACAGAACCATATCGAAATTTTAAAAGCTCTTCCTACATTTGACAAGCTGCATTTTATATAATTTGAAAAGTTTCAGCAATGTCACAGCTGAACGAATCCAATTCCTTCTTTCCATCCACTCCACTTAAGAAATTTGAATTCACAAAACTCAATGTGAAAAATAGTGCCATCGGAACGTTTCGAGATAGAATGATGTGTGCGACATGTTTGTAGTTCGGCCTGAAGTTTATCCCCACTAGGACAGAACAACAGGAAATTTATTTCGAAAGCCCACGGTATAGCTGAAAAACTGTAACTAGATGTTCCCCCTACCAGAATGGTGGATTAACTGGAGTGTATCTACTTCATAGCGTCGATTTTTTCTCTTCGTTCTTGTTTTACCAAGCTTCAAACCACTGACATAATGATAAATATGGACTGGCCACTGAAGAGAGAAGAAGATGACTCCAACAAATAAAAAAAGATGAAGATACGCGTCCTGGCATTCACGTCACTCATACACTCAGATTCAACGTCATGATGTTTTACGTGTTGCATATTTCCATGTGGAAATTTTTAGATTTTATTTGTTACATAATGATGTGGCGCAGTGGTCAAGACGTTATGCCATCTGTAGGTGGAATATATGTAAAAGTGACGTAATGGCCTGTCCATATATTATCATTATCATGTCTATGCCTTAAATGTAGTGTTAGATATCCCACAAACAATGTTACAGAAATGTCTTCTCAACAATCGAAATATCACGATTGTTGAGAAGACATTTCAGTCTTACAAATTGTATCGATTTTTCTGAGACTACTAGAATCCAAACATTATTTTTGAAACATAATATTGGGATTTTAGGCAAAAATTCGTATATATGAAGTGCCAAGTTGACAAAAACGTTATTAAAAAGCTCTGTAGAGCAGTTCTTGGTTCAGATACGACCTCTGTCGGACATTTCAAAACTACTTCAGATGGTTAAACAAAAGCAATTTTCTATCAGCTATTTTCACATATAGTTGTGATGTCTTGTGCTTCCTTCGAGCGAGTATAATTTATTTCCAGCCTTCATCAGTTTCTCATATCAAAAATAATTGCACCAAAACAACGCCCATAGAAAGTTAGAAGCTCATAAGTACGATTTTAGTGTATCCTGGAATTTATAGTACCTACTCTGACCACCAGAGAGTGAAGACAGAATATATGTTTAAAAAAATCTATTTGAAATCTGTTTTTCCGTTAATCAGTATAATGTCAGTATTTAATGTAGTTACCAACAAAATTGGGTAGCAGTCAATGACAACCAGTCAGCCTTTTGATTTAATTTAATTTTAGCATACATACGAACTATTAATGATCCGGATGACTGGTTGTCAGCGATCCTTTTGGCTGATTGCTACCCGAACCTGTTGGTAATCACATTAAATATCGACACCGTGTTGCCATCGCCCTCTGATGGCAAGGGTGGATACTATAAATTTCAGGAAACACTAAAATCGTCTTTGTAAGCTTATTCTTCTGATTTGTATCATCTCCAATTCAACATTAATTAATTCCATTACATATTGATAGATGGCGGTATTATTCATATTGAGTTAAACATGGATGGCTGGGGGAGAATCTAACAATGAGGTTGTGATCTGTACGACGGGAAATTTTTCTATTCAAATGTGAGATTTTACTCGAGATGATTTCATGAAACAGGAATGCAGAATGGAGAACTTTTCTATTATTTGACGCTTCCGTATGCTATGAAGGAGTCGCAAGCAGGAATTCTGAGCTTTTTGAATTTTGCTTTATATTGACTGATCAAACTTGGATCATAAGGTATGAATGGATGAAATTAGAGAGGATTAAAGCCCTACATAACATCATCCTAAACTTCAATGAAAGAAAATTTCTTTAAAATGAAAACTTCAAAAGTACATTTCCCAAAATGGAAGCATCACCACCAATTTCCAATGTATATCAAAAAATGTCAAACCAACTATCATAATATTGAAAAAATGAAGACTCTGAGAATAGGACTTTTGTGAAACTTTAAAAAATATTCCTTATATATTCCTCCACTAGAAAATGAAAAATATTCTAGAAAGAACGGTTAATCCACCACGCTGCTGACAATTTTCCCGCCCAAAATGCATCACAGAGATTTATTGCCTTCAGACTGTTTCCATCAATTTCGATTAAAAATTAATTACCTTTTTTGTTCGGAGTCTGCCAAGCTCTTTCAGAGTGGTGGGGCATTTCTGTAATAAATCACGCGGATGCTATACGTGCTGATGTAAAACATTAGATTTTTTTTGGGGAACACGGAAACCAGAAGAACTCATTTTTTTTGACGAAAGATTTATTTCCAACATCAGCTTATAATTAACGGTGAGATATTTCGTTGGAGATGAGTTTGTAGTGGGGAATGCGCCAGAATTTTCGTCCACGATGGGGATTGAAAGAATGAAGTTTGTATATTGATTTGTAAAACGTACTTTTCTATAATAATCATTGAAAAATTTATGACTTAGAGTTGAAGGCTGTAAACATTTCCAAGATGCATTTTATTGACGTTAGTATAATCAATTCTAGACTTTAAGAATCGTACTGCTCTTATGAATAAATGTTCGAAACAAATCTTTTTTTTTTGTAAAGTACAGCTGCTTCAAATAACTGAGTGCTATTTTCGATGGATATAGGGGGGTCTAAAACTGTTCAGAAATAAGGAGCCACTTTTCAGAATAACCAACACCAAAGTATCGCCCTGTATTTATCTTCTATAATGAGCGCTCTGCTGCCAAAATGAAATGAAATTTGACTTTTCAATTGACAACATGTAATTTCGGAGGACCTCTTTCAGATTGTATTAGATAAAAAAAACATTTTTCTTTTTCTGGATTCAAAATAATATCTGCTATACGAAAAATTGCATTTTCGAAAAATCACCGTTCTGAAAGAAGTATCTCAGATTGTTTTTCCAAGATGTATTTTTATAAATTGTTATATGTACGTGAGATGTTAGATATTTTACTTACGTGTTACAGGGTGAGTCTATAAGATAATACGGAAAATATTCCGGAATTCAGTTTCCTAGTATATATCCGCCCTGTATAACTTATGGGGTATAATATAAATGTTAAAAGGATATCTGTATATATTTGTGTACTTCGGTTTTTTGTTACTTAAAAAAGAATATAAATATACCGACTAAAAATCTCGATGTATTGAAGTTTGAAACTGAAAAAATAATTTCGCTTAGAAGTTTCTGGTTCTTCCCAAATAGTTTAAAATGGCCATCGAATTATATAATGATTAGCTCGATGTTGACTATGAAGTTATTCTTGTATAGATTAGATAGAATACGAGTAATAACATTGTTTTCAATATAATTGTTTTTTACTTTTTAGGAAACACAATTTTCTATTCTATAGTTATGTATTATTATTATTGTTATATGGAAAGCGAACTTATGATCGTGGAGATATGTTGGATGATTTTCAGCCAGTTGGAAATAAATATTGTTATGTCCCGGTTGACTATTATTTATAAATTGAGAACCCTTTTTGTTCGTCAACAATTGATTCAGTCCATTATTAGGATAAGTTGCTAGCCAGACTAAATATTGACTATTTTCAAAATAAGAGATTGTGTACTATCACGATTAGAGATGAATTACCTGATAGATATCTATTTAGGGAAGGTAGCCAGACTTTATACAGTCCGGACTTTATAAATTTCCGGATTATTTCAAGGGAATTTCATTTTAACCTCTTTATTAGGAAAAAACCTTTGAGTAAATATTCAAAATGTACTGTATAAACCTCCTGATAGCGAAACGGTTTATTTTCGAGTCTATTTATAACATTTTGAGATGTTTCTGAGGCAATATAAGCATACGTTCCTGCAATTCTTTAAGTTTCGTGTTATCCCAGGGTTGCGTAACCTAAACTTTCAGTTTGATATAACCCCGAAGGAAAAAATCGATAGTAGTCAAATCTGGTAAACGTGCAGGACATTCCAACTTTCCTCCCCTACCAATACAGGTTACCTGGGTATGTCCGGTCCAACATCCATTTCCTCTGTAGACAAGCTCCTGATCTAAATTTACAGCCGTCTTTGATGGCTCCAATAAAGTTCTTACTATTTGTTTTTGATCATAGTGAATTTATTATGTTCCTAATTACTGATAACAAGAAAATTTTTCAGAATCATTCATTCGCAGAATGTTTTATTATTCCTAAATCATCATTGCTACTTCAGTGCGATGTGAAAGTTACAAACTATCGTGGTCAAATTTGTTTGATGCATTATTTTGCTCAAAATTGTTTGCTCTGCAACAGTTGTATGATAACTATGAAATATGCAGTAATAAAGCCAGTCAAAGAGAGCAATGTAGATCGTGTTATCGGAAAAAAATCCGCGGCAGTGCAGTTTGGCGGAAAATCTTTGAGTAGATCAGCGAGGTTTTTGATTTTCTCATCCTGTGGTGTTCCCAGAAGAAACTTCCTACGTAGACTGGTGCAGAACTTGAGCAGTTTGCTTGGTTCTTTGGTAGCCGAATCGATGCAAAAAACCAGTGCCATAACCTGCAACTGAGTACGTACTCGTTATTTTTCGACATGAATTAACTTCATCAATGTTACTATTTTCATTTGGTTTTGAAGGCTGTCAAGTGGCTAGCTTTTTCAGATGTTCACACATCACGAGATTATCTTCGATTACTGGGAATTCTATTTATACAATGAAATAGGATATAAATATGAACTAATAAATGATGTGTGGTGGTAGGATTTTATTTTCAGTGAATTTCAAAACATGAAGGAGCTGAAGTTACAAATCACCAATCACCACCTTGATTGATTCTGGGCCCCTTACCGCCTCCCTCTAGGCTTCCAGTGGCCACAATTGTGGCCATATTGTCTCCGACTATTCATTACCAACCTATCAGAAATGATCAAAAACTCGATCACACACGTCTTTCAACTAGGTAACCTAACCTAGTTGGCTACCTGGGAGAATATTCAGCCATAGTAGTTTTTTGTTCGTCAGCATACTCTACGATATCCGCATAGACGAATAATAGGTCACTCAGTTGCGCCAATTTTCAAGATATACGGGGTATGTTCGGAAAATAATGTGAATTCATTTTTCTCAAAAAATATTTATTTAGCAATCAATTTTTATTTTGTGTTCAACGTAGCCCCCTTCAGATATAATACACTTGTGCCAGAGTTTCCTCCAATCCTTGAGCTCTCTTAGCAATTCGATTTTTACCTTCTCAATAGTTGCAAATCGCCGTCCTTTCATGGATCTTTTTGATCTTGGAAAGAGGAAAAAGTCGCAGAGGCACAAATCTGGTCAACACGGTGGCCGAGGCTCGATTACGGCAAGCGAAAAAAACAGCGAGCATAACCTTGTCATTCGAACGAACTTGGCGGGCGTATTTTGGTCTTCCCTCTTCTGTGCTCTTCCATTAGGACGATTGAACCTTGGTTTCGAAGTCATAGCCATATACCCATGCTTCGTTACCAGTTATGGCCCTTTCAAACAAATCTGGATGGCCGTTGACGCTATTCAACAATTCCTGAGCGTTGTTGATGCGATGGTTTGTTTTGGTTAAAATTCAGCAATTTTGGAATGAACTTCGCTGCCACAAAAGGTAAGGTTAGGTTAGGTTAGGTCCAAAGTGAGAGGGTCTACTCTTCTCCGCAATCCGCAAGGGTTTATTGTGGTTCACTCCTATTCACACTCGACTGAATAAACCCAGCTTCTTAACGAAGCCGATTAGTTTGCATGGTGAGTACGGCTCTGCCGAAGTCTCAAAACCTGATTTGGTCTCAAGCGGGGCAGGTACAGAGTATGTGCTCTGCTGTTTTATCATTTTCCAAACAGAGGCAACACACACCGTTTTCCGACAGTCCGAGTCTCTGCATATGATGATTCAAATGACAGTGACCTGTAAGAAGGCCGTTTAGACATCGTAGTTCATCCCTACTGTAGTCCTACAACTGTTTGGTATCAAGCTTCGAAGGGTGAATGAACGCCTTGGAGTGAGCCACTCCTGGAAGATTCTGCCATTTGTCTATGAATCTTCTTGCCATCGAGGTGTTCAGTGTTTGTTTGGCAGAGCCTAAAGCAATGCCAATGACATGAAGCTACTTGCAACACCCTCCTTTGCAAGAGAGTCAGCAGCCTCATTGTCGTCCAGGCCAGTATGGCCAGGAATCCAGACCAGAGACAATCTGTTTTTGGCAATTTGCTGCCAATTAAGACGTTGCTCGGTATGAGCCAAGAGCTATCAAAGACGTTTGAGTGTCCGAGACTATTTAGACTATTTTTATTGAGCTGTGTATGAGTTTGGATTCTTCGAAACCCTCCGCACACAATTCAATAGCGTAAATTTCCGCTTGAAATACAGTCGCACATCTTCCTAGGCAGGTTGCAATCTCTGTCCTGGCTCTGCGACTGAAAACACCTGCACCAGAACCGGAAGGTGTTTTTGATCCAACTGTGAACCAACAACTATCTGCTCCTATTATTTCCTTCTTCCGGAGGATCCAGTTCTTTATACTCGAGAACAGTATTTTATAAAGCAGTTTTCTGTAAAGCTTTTGGCCACCAGATCATTGGTCTGACAATCGTCACATAATTTTGCTTGGGATCTAAACCCCAAGTTTTACCACAAATCCTTCGACTTGTCCATAGGGATAGTCTTGCTTCGTGTAGAACTTTTTCCAAGTGAGCGTTCCAAATGGAATGACCTCGTCATTGAGGGAAAGTGGCGTTAGATGGTCCAATTTTCTCCTTCTAGTGAAGGAGAGTATAACAGTTTTGCTGGGGTTGACAGACATCTGATCCCTCAGGCACAACTGTGAAAAACGTCCAACGTGCTTTAGAGGATATTAGAAGCTACCCTTTCCGACGTGGACTTGGTAAGATGACAAGGTTATCTGCATAAGTTTGCACATCTACTTTTCTTCTGTCGAGGACATCAAGCAGACTATTCATCAGGAGCAACCACAGATAGTACTTCACCTTGAGGTCAACCTCTGGTGACCCTGAACCTGATGACCTCGCCTTGAAGAGTCGTTACTGTAGTTCTGTTTACCAGCACGGCATAAATCAAGCAAGTTTTGTTCGATTTTATACCGTTCTACAAAGTTGTTTAATGCTGAATCTGTCGATTTGCCGGTTTGATAAGCATACTGGTGGTTATTCAGAGGGATGCACATAATGCCACCCTCCTGATGTATCTGTCCAGTATCCTCTTAAGTCCTTTCACGTCTTTCACATCTTGGCAATGAAAAAATGCGCATCTAATACAACAAGGAGTACATACTCACCGTAGAGAATATCGAGGTAGATGTGGAAAAATAATAATCGAAAAACGATTTTTCTCTGTTTTCCTGGAAAATCCAATGTTCCTTGAGAAATGGAAAAGTCAAGGCGTATAGCACTGTCGAAACAAAGTGAAGCAACTTCATCAATAGTAGTATTCCGAACATTTCGTTCAATTGTTCCATTATCTTATCCATGACCAAATATAGCCTTTTAGCTTTATCTACCAGTTTTGCTAAATCAGCCACATGAATATTTTCCCCCATCAATATATTATTTATATCTCTATACTTATATTTGACGTAGATGTACAAATTCGAAATGATAGAACTTTGAAGAAAATTGACGTATTCCAAGATGAGATGGTTTCCAATTAATTTCAAAGTTTGGATACTATCCACATAATCATTATAGAAAATTCCAATGCAATTATTAACACCATATAAAATATTTCCCAGAAAGTAAATGTAGTAGGTGTTACTTAGGGTAGTTTTTTCGATTATACCAGCCGAATCCAAATTATCAAGACTTTCCAGATACTCGAAGTGGTTGAATAGATCTTGCCATGCATTTGTCTTTTCGAATGAAGATCCATATACTGACAGTGTGAACATAATACATCCAATTATATCTGTCGATATATCCAGACATACTTGTATGGGATGGTAATCAATATAGACTTTCACAAATCTGTAGTGTAAAATGAATATCTCACTGAAAATCATACCGAGTAACGCCGTCCAATTATAGTAGCTGAAAAACTTTCCATGAGAAACTGTACGACGTCTGAAATTATAATTTGGCGATATACAAAATAATACCGCCACTTTTGATAACGGCTCTAGAAAAAGTATGGATTTTTTACTGTAGTTCAGTCTCATTATGTTTTTTCACACCCAACCAACAAAACTCGTAAGTATTGGACAACGATTGAATTACGGCTGATTAATCTTTTCCATTACGTTCAATCAAATATTCATTCTAACGATGGCCACGTGAATAATACAAACACTGGATGATTTATGAAAAAGGTTTGCTTAAAAATTCAATAGCGTATGACGTTATCATGATCAAAATTGTGCAAGTAATGAAATGAAACCAACTGACTTCAGGCCTGAAGATTGTAAAATACATAAAGAGGTATTATAAAATTCATACAAATCATAATACGGTCTTTCACTCAATTATTGTG